ACTACGTACCGGACACGACTGCCTGGCAAAACACCTTCACGAATTGAGAGTATACGCTCAACCCCCTTGCCCTCTTTATATCCCACAGGAGGAAATGGAGAAGACCCTCCTGATTTGGTGTCCAGCCTTAAAGACAACGACGGAAACCTGGAGAAAATGAAAAGCAAGAAGAAAGCTAATGATCAGTTATTAATTAACTGCTATATATGTACCCCCCACTCATGGGGGAAGCTGAAGCCAACTATGGGTCCGACGGAAAATATCTTAAAGCTTGCTATTTGAAATATATAATTTTCTCTCTGAAATTAAATAACTCTTCTGGAAAAGAGAACTGCGATTTACTTGAATGTAATTGTTTATTAAGATGCTTCTACAGTACTTCTTGGGCTACTATTTGTTTATATATCTTCAACCAGAGACTGAGTCTGAGATTTTGTAGTGTTTTCATGTTTAAATCAACATTGAATTCGACTTTGAAGGATAAATAAAAGTCACAATTTGCAAATAATTCCAAGATCAGGAATCAATTTAAATGTTTACGTTCTTGAATGCCAAAAACTAAAACAATGTAATTATCCGTAATACACTAAACACATCTATCAAAGTGGCAGCGAATGAAGTGGTAAATCTTCACTTTGTGAAGCATTGAATTTAGTAACCATATTAAGAGATCTCAGTTCTCGTCTCTATTATCCGAATTTCTTTTTTCTGGATTCATTCATTGAATAACATTCAAAATTAATATGAAAAGCAAATAGACTTGATCTGGACTATAAAGTCATTATCGTTAATAAAGAACATACTGTAATATAAATTTAATGCCTATACATGTGATCAATCTCAATGCATATATTGATCCAGCAAGTTATAATTTTCTACATTGCCAGAGATAAAAACCTTGTTATCGAAACTAGCTGTCCTATAATTAATGTGATTGCTGTGAATTTATTTATTTATATGAAATGGCAGGTGTATTGATAGTTATCATTAGCATTTTAGTTGACTTCAGGCTGCACAGAAGGGAAAGAATATCACAGTGAAAAAATGTCGAGATAAGGGTGGGGGGGGGGGGGGGGGGGGGGGGGGGTAGAAGATTGATTCAAAGATGTTAAAGGTAGGAAAAGGTGAGATGAGTACGGTTGAAGTGGTCGAATATGACAGAGTGGGGTGATGGAAGTTTAAAGTCAGATCACTGTTGGTTAACAGACTTTTTTCCGAATGAGTATACGTTGCCCAGGGTGCACCACGTAGAGGTTAGTCTATCGCACATCACTTGCTTGCAGATAATATTTCGAAGTAATTGCTGATATTTTTGCAAAACCCAAAGAATTGTCTCTACCGGTTTCAGATACACACAACTATTTCACTAAACTGACGGGAATTAACGAACATTGTAGGTAAACTGTAATCTGGATGGAGATTCAACAAATACATAATTTTATACCATATTAGATTTTATGTAAAACATAAGGTTTGAATGTGAGTCAAACGCTTTACTTTTTCTGTTAAGAACAAACATTTCTCATTCTTTCAACACTTGCTTAAATCAATAGCCAATAAGAGGGACTTTAAATGGATTTGCAGTATCACTGTTGTTAAAGGCACTAAGAACGCAGGTTTGGGTTTTGTTAGGATAATTTACTAGACAAACACGTGGCACTTTTCGGGAATTATTTGCCTCTAACCAATCAATGTTGTAACAGAGGCTAAACTCACTATTGTTTGACACGTTATCACTTTGTGCGTCATCGCATGCCTAAATGCCATTATTGGGAGGTGCGGCCATACAAACCTGTGTACAGCAATCGTATAAACAGTGGTCGATCGGTAGCTTCTGTTTGTTTAACCTAACCCATCATCCTGATCATAAGTAGCTCCCTGCGTGTACACTTTATCCACAATATACTTACTGAATAAACGTGCTTCGTGCTACACATCGGTTTCCTTTATAGCTGGGCTATAGGAAAGCTAGTTCTGGGAGTCTCGCTAGAAGTTGGAGAATCTGCCATGGAGATGTCTGAGTCAGTCAGGCTTTACTAGCGTAGCAATCCGCTACACTATTGACCAAAATCCTTCGTCATTTGATTCCATTTTTTGCGTTATAATCTATAGGGAAAGCACAATTCTCAATCAATGATGCAAAAAGGGGAATATTAGACATGTTTCCATTTGTTCGATGATCTTATATTCATTATGCAAAATGTATTTAAATAAAAATTCTTTTAGATGTATAAATCATAATAGTTTTATGAAATTGTTTCAGTTTAATTTGGTTTATAACTCTAAGATGGTACTGCATTTTGTCTATACCTATTGGAATTGACTATGATTGCAACGCAATAGCCAGCTGTTTAATTTAAAAAGTGTAAAATTTATGTAGGTTTTGGTTGAGAGATCTATATGCAGTAATGATTCTATTTCTTTATTTTGGCTTTGCTCATTTAGCTAACTTTCTTATTGATCATTTTAAACGTTTGAGACTCCGTGTGGAAAATCTTTTAAAATTCCTTTTATTATTTCCAATGTATTGTGGATAAATAAATTGAATGACTGACAGTCATCCATCACAAATAAATATGATATAGAAGTAATAAAAACATTGTGAAATGTTACGTATGATTGGCAAAGCATTTTATTATCAATAGTCTACACAGATTTACAGAATAAAATTTTAATCTCAATCAATTGATTTTGAAATATTTTTTAAATAATGTTTGCATGAAATTCGCCAACTTAAATCTTTAGTGTAATGCAAACATATGCACTATATGTATTGTGCACATATGCTTTATTGTTTAAATATTTCTAACCAATGACTAAGGCGGAGATTTACAATAAGCACTTTAAGTGATGTTGAAAATGCTAAATTAATCATAGATCAAGCAAATAACAAATTGTGTAATTTCTTGAATCAAAAGAACTATGTAACTACCTCTTATTTATTAAACAGGCATTTCAAATTTTTAAGTAATATATTGGAAAACCACAACTTTGTGAAGCATTGCATTTAGTAATCTTCATTTCCTTTGTTAAATCAAGTTCAATTAATCGGGACTATAAAGTCTTAGTTATTTTACAAAAACATTTTGAATATCAAATCTAATGCGAACGTATAAGATTGATTCCATGAAATGCATTGATCAAGGAAGTTATGACGATCATCATTGTAAATTAGTTTAAGAAATGTAGTTGCGTCTGACTATACAATTTAATTGTGATACCAATACTTGTGTAAATAATACGATTTCAGAGAAAATATCCTATATGTAGGGCAAAAACTCATACTAAAAAAAAATATCAACGTCATTTCTACCACATAAATCTTTTTACCTTTACATATAAATCTTTCATCAAAAAGACAAAAGATTAAATCAAATTGAAGGTAAACTGTAATTTGTTACTAGAACTTCAATAATTTTACAGTTCCATTTAACGAAAACCATTTGGTCTGAATGTGAGTCAAATGATTTTAGTTTTCTTTCTAGTATAGAAACCTTCATTCCGCAATGCATTTTTAATACACTAACCAAATAAACACCTCTAAATGGATTTCGAGCAACACAGGTGTGTTTGAATAAATAAATTGTCAAACACAACACGCTTTCAGTAACTATTTGCTTTAAGCCAATTCAGGTGAAATTAGTATCTGAATTCATTATTGGTTGAAATATACCCAAGACTTCCCCTAACTTTTTTGTTGGGGTAGAGGGTTATCAAAACGGAACACACGATCAATAATAACAGGTGCATAAGACAAATAATAGGCAGGTGTCCATCACTTGCGATTTAAAAAAATAAAGGGTTGTGGAGTGGATAGGGTTAACAGAATTTGAAATGCTTCTTCAGATTGGTTTATGATAAGTAAATCATAAATTGAACATTTGAATTTAAACTTACACCGATGTGCCAATCTTAACATTTCACTGAATTCGTACCAGTTTTACATCGTTGTAGAAGAGTGTTTATTGCTCGAGAGATCGCATCTCATTTTGAATAAACTTGCCTTCTACAAATAATTGAATATCATCTTAGTTTCTTCCAATTGTCATGATATTACGTTGCCTAAATAATAACGTTTTCGAATATACCTTTTAAAGCACCTATTTCTCACCCGTTGAGTTGGGATCTTTTCACACGATCAGGAAAAATGGTTTTGGAAATGAAGCAAGGCAAATTGAAATATTTATTTCAAATGGCAGGCATTATTATATTTATCATTAGCCCTTAATCTTTGACTTTAGCTTCCCCCAAGAGAAGAGGAGGTACATTTATAGCAGTTAATTAAGAGCAATTCATTAGGTGTCTTCTTGCTTCCCAGTATGTCTGGCTTTCCGTCCTTGTATTTAGGGCTGGACACCGAGTCAGGTGGGTGTTGTCCATTTCCTCCTGTAGGTTACATAGAGGGCATGTGGGTTGAATGTATATTTCCAATCTGTGAATGTGTTTTGCCAAGCAATCGTGTCCGGTACGTAGTCTTAACTCAGCAACGGCTTCGATTCTTGGCCAGTCGGGTATTTCGGAGATTGCCACTGTCCACTGTTTCTCCTTTGTTTGAGCTTTAATTTCGCTGCAACTTGAGGTATGGAATTCTCTCCTGATTAGGTAATTCACTGTGTGGAAAGACATCGTCCGGTTCATGCATTGCAAAATCGTTGTCGCCTTCTTAGCAAGTGTGTTAGCAAGCTCATTGCCTTTAATGCCACAGTGACCAGGAATCCATTGTAGGACCACTGTTTTGTTTTTCTCTCCCAGCAGCTCATAGCGTTTTCCACTGTCTTGTTTTCCTCTCAGCAGCTGATAGAGTTCCCTACATTCCTTTATCTCAGCTGTTTTGGGTGTCTCTCTGTTTTCAATTGAATTTATTGCTGACTGTGAGTCCGAAAGTATCACCGCTTAGGTGAATTTTGTATCCAGGCGACATAAATGGCATAGTGCTATCCTAATGGCCTCTATTTCTCCTTCAAAAGCGGATCTATGTTGTCCCGATGCTGCGTAGATAGAGAAGAGCTCAGAATAGACACCTGCACCAACGTTTGTTTGGTTTTCTATGTATGACCCATCAGTGAGGACTTGGAGCCATTGATCTCCACGATAGTTGACATTGATTGTCTCAAGGACCAGTGAGCCTTTCCATGTATGACCCATCAGTGAAGACTTGGATCCATTGATCTGCGTTTGTCTCAAGGGCCAGTGAGCGCATTTGCTCTGGAGGAACAAAGGGCCAGTGAGCGCATTTGCTCGGGAGGAGTGTTTGATAATATCATTGTCTGCTTAGTCAATTGGTTTGACATTGATTGTCTTGGCCTGTGAGCGCATTTGCTCTGGAGGGGTGGTTGATTTCAGTGTTTGATTTCCTGAAAATATCATTGTCTGCTTAAAGTGCATTTGTTCTGGAGGGGTGTTTGATTTCCTGAAGAAGTCAATTTGGCACATTGATTGTCTCAAGGGCCAGTGAGTGCATTTGTTCTGGACCTTGATTGTCTCAAGGGCCAGTGAGCGCATTTGCTCTGGAGATTGTTTGATTTCCTGAAGAAGTCGAGCAGTTGGGTGCAACACATCAATGTCTGCTAATGGTTCATGGGGATAGAGAGGTTTTTCGGTTTATCATCGATTTGTAACGCTTTCTTCAGTTC